CCACAACCGTCTGCTTCTTACTCTTCCATGTCACAAGATTTCCTCCAAGAAATGTGCAGTAACCTATAGTAGATCTTCTATCAAACACAGAGCCTACCCAATCTACATCTGTATACCCAATTACTTCAAATCTTCCTCTTGGTTTGTACAATAACCCACAGCCTAGAGCTCCCTTCAGATACCTTACAATTCTAAGAACTGCACCCAAGTGAGGTATCCGAGGGTTCTGCATAAATTGGCTCACCACACTGACTGCAAAGGAGATGTTTGGTCTCGTGATAGTCAAATAGTTTAGCTTCCCCACTAACCGTCTATACCTTCCAGGATCATCAAATATTTCCCCTGTATCACTGCTCAACTTGGCATTTGACTCCATGGGAGTTTCAGCCAGTTTTGCACCTAATAGTCCTGTTTCATCCAGCAGATCAAGAACATATTTTCTTTGGCAYAGGTTTACACCWTGTYYTGATCTAGCAACTTCTATACCCAAGAAATACTTCAATGTCCCAAGGTCTTTTGTTTGAAAAAGATTTTGCAGAAAGACCTTTAGTTTATCGATCCCCAATTTGTCACTACCAGTTATGACAATATCATCCACATAGACCACTAATAAAATCTTTCCGGCTTTTGAATCATAGCTGAACACCAAGTGGTCTGTTTGCTGGAATAAGGCTACCGAATGAGAAGAGAAGAAGAAAAAGAAGGAGAAGATATGAGAAGGGCGGCAATATCACTCTCAGCCAGCCCTAATCTATTATATATAAGAGCATTACATAATGTTACATAAATAGACTAGAATGCCCCTGATTAGTGATGGGACACCTAGTCAAATAAAACACTAAATAAGAGTAGGCCCAATAACTAATGTCTTAAGACACAACAAAGATAAAACAAACAAATTAAGACAGTCGAACCAACACTCCCCCTCAAGCTAAGCATGGATGTCAATCATGTTTAGCTTGCCAAGTAAGTCCAAGAATTTCACTGTAGCTAGCCATTTAGTAGAACATCTGCAATCTGCATCTCGGAGGGAGTATAAGGAATGCAGAGTTCTCTTGAGACGATTCTTCCTCTGACAAAGTGGCGGTTTATCTCAATATGTTTCGTTCTATCATGTTGCACTAGGTTATTTGCAATGTTGATGGCAGCCTTGTTGTCACAGTACAACCTAAGAGGGCACTCGATCTTTATTCCAAGTTCACCAAGAAGGATCTTAAGCCATAGAAGTTCAGCAACACCATGAGCCATAGCTCAATATTCGACCTCTGCACTAGATCTAGCCACCACATTCTGTTTTTTATTCCTCCATGTAACTAAATTTCCTCTAACAAAGGTGCAATACCCGGAAGTAGACTTCCTGTCCCCAACAGAGCCAGCCCAATCTGCATCAGTATATCCTTCAACTTCAATTTTATTGTTTTTTTCTGAACAGAATTCCTTCCCCCGGGCAAGACTTCAAATATCTGAGGATCCTTTCCACAACATTCATGTGAGGGATTTTAGGTGTGTGCATGAACTGACTGACAACATATACAGCATAAGCAATGTCAGGGCGAGTGAGGGACAGGTAAATCAACTTCCCCAC